AGAGAGAGAGAGAGAGAGAGAGAGAGAGAGAGAGAGAGAGAGGAGTTACTTAAGATTTGCACAGACACATGACAACAAATTGCAATGCACTGATAGGAACTTGGATTAAAAGTATAAAGGACATAACTGGGACAAATGGGGACTCTGTAGAAAAGAGTATTGTTCAATTTCCTGAGTATGACAATTCTATTTTCATTTCGAGAGAATGTCATTGTTCTTAGGAGATAGGTGCTGAGGTGTTCAGGTGTGAAGTCTCATGATATATGCAACTTATTCTCAAATGGTTAAGGAAAAAAAGCATATTCTTTTTTTAATATATATTTTTTATTTCAGAGAGAGGAAGGGAGAAGGAACATCAATGATGAGAGAGAATCATTGATCAGCTGCCTCCTGCATGCCCCCTAACAGGGAATCAAACCTCCACCTCCTGGTTTATGGGTCGATGCTCAACCACTGAGCTGCACTGGCTGGGCAAATAGTATATTCTTTAAAATATATATTTTCATATACTATTTATATTTATACATAAGTATATTTTATATATTTGCTGCATTTGTGGGAGAAAACATATACATGAGAAAGAGAAAGTGGTAAAACATTAATAATCATGAATCTGTTTATAAAGAATATATGTGCTCATTGTATTATTCTTTCAAGTTTCCTGTAGTTTTGAAATATAGAATGCTGAGGGAAAATACAATTTACTCATACTGCAGGACAGGCTCTGGCATCCGTGCAATGCTGACATTCTAAATTAATCTTGAGCTCCTTCCTGAATCTGCCCTGTGCCCCAATTCACAGTCACCGGGAATAGCCACCCCTCAGCCTTTAAATTCATCCCCACAAAGGGCCGTTGTGTGCCTTTGTGGGGATGAATTTAAAAGCAGGAGCATGAAGGGCTGGTTACAGAACGTAACATGTAGCTTACAATAATTTCTACTGGGGAACACAGGGGCAGCACTGCAGATGCTATGGAGAGAGCAGTAAACATTTATTGACCACCTGCTCTGTGCCCTGCACTTTGCTAGGTACCCAAGGATTATTCTTAACCGTTTAATTTTTTCTACTTGTCTTCTGGGGTGAATTTTCTACTAACTAGCAAGGGCCCCTTAAAGCCACAATGTGCACACATAAAGCCCTCAATACTGAACACCCTGTGGCTAACTCTGCTGCATCAGTAAGTGACAGTCATAATTCTCTGTTGTCGGCAGAGGAGAAAAATGTTCTTTTTCCTGTTACAATTCTCCATTTCCCTTGCATTTCTCATAGCAACGGGAATGTCAGGGTTTCTAAGGAACCCTTTTCCTCTTCATCTAGACCAGCAGTTCTCAACCTGTGGGTTGCGACCCCTTTGGGGGTCGAACGACCCTTTCACAGGGGTCGCCTAAGACCACCGGAAAACACATATATAATTACATATTGTTTTTGTGATTAATCACTATGCTTTAGTGATATTCAATTTGTAACAATGAAAATACATCCTGCATATCAGATATTTACATTACGATTCATAACAGTAGCAAAATTACAGTTATGAAGTAGCAATGAAAATAATTTTATGGTCGGGGGTCACCACAACATGAGGAACTGCATTAAAGGGTCGCGGCATTAGGAAGGTTGAGAACCACTGACCTAAACCATCTCCTTAGTGGAGGCTCGGCCCCCTTCACCTCAGTCTTTTCCACAAACGCCATGGACTACATGAAAAGCATGCAGAGGCCACAGCGGAAAGGCCCAAATCTCCCAAGAGATTTCAAGACCCCTCTCTACTCTCACTCTCCAGGCAATCAGGAGGGTGGCTGCCAGCAGGGCGTAGGAGCAGGGAGCAGTCTGCTGGGACAGCTCTTATTTTGTCTCCCTTGTTCCGTTAACATTTTTAAGCAGGAATATGTGTCTGAGCTCCTGACAGCATTTCCTCTACACTGGGAGTCAAGTGTTCACAGAAACCAACCCCACAAAAATAAACCATAATTTCTACCCTGGGTTTAGCCTGACATGCTGTGTTTGTTTCAAAGGCCCGAAGCTCTCCATCACTTAGGCTAGCATCTGAGCCTTGCAGGGACACATTTACCCACTGCTGAGCAGCAGTCCCGATGCAAGGAAGTGGGCCGCAGCTTAGGACGGGAAGACAGAGGCTTTGGTGGCCACTGCTCCCCAGGGGTGAGCTGCAGACGAGCGGAGAGCCTGGAACTTGAACCAGAGGAGGCCCGTGCCTTTGCACGGTTTGTGGACTCTGAGGCTGTGTCACACCTATCTTAGACGTCCACACAGGGCAATGTGCAGACAGCACAGCCCTGATTTCTGACCTCCATGCTACCCTCACAGCTACTCTCTCAGCCTGTTCCACTTCCACTGTGGGTTCCGTCCCCTATTACCTGGACGTGTCTCTGTTTCAGCAGCGTCTCATAGCGGTTGGACGGCGGGTACGGAATGATGACTCCATAGTTCTTACATTCGGCTCTAAAACGTTTATCCAACAGGACACTGGAAGGGATGAGAGTTAAATGAGGCCAGGCAATGTGACAGCGAATTGTTTTCAACTGCCCCGCCACGTCTGCTTTAGACCAGGATCTACCCATAAAGCACTGTCTTATGCATTTTAAGTATAATTTCCTTTCTGTTTTAGAGCAAAGTCCTTCAAGTTTCTTTTCAACCAGAAGAGCTCAATATGTGAACAAGAATGTCTAACTTAAAGACTGGCAACACAGAAGTTGAATGACTTTCCTCTTTCATTCACTGACCAAAAAATCAACAACAGCAATAACAACAAAATGGAGTGCATGCTTGTCATATCCCAGATCCTTGCTTGGGACAGACAGTTCCCAACAGGAAACATTCTAAGCACTAGGAATACAAAGTTCCTGTCCCCTGGAAGTCTATGTTCTAGTGAAGAGAGACTGAAACTGAAAAAGTAGGCAGAGGAATAAGATAATTTCAAATAGTGTACGTCTGCATGGTATTCATTCTGTATCAGGTGTGCACACGCACTCATACAGTCGCTTTTCATCTCACATCCACGAGTTGGAAGTACCATTATCATCTTTCACATTGAAGCAAACACTGCAGAGTCATAAGTGTTCTGAAAACAATAAAACAGGACCATCTGGTATGAGGAGGTCAGAGAAAGCCTCTCTGGAGAGGTTTTGTTGGACAGAGACCTACATGCGAAAAATAGCCAGATCTGGGGGAAGAATCCCTCAGGCACAATGAGCCTGGGATATCTGAGAAAAGGAAAGATGGCCAGTGTGGATACAGGGCAGGGCCTGGTGGAGATCATGGTGCAAAAATGAACTTATAAAGTTAGTCCAGGGGCCCAGTCACGTGGGACTACCTAAGCCACAGGAAAGAGGTTAGATGCTCTCCAGATGTAACTGGATGTCATGGAAAGGAAGCCATGAAGCAGGACAGTGACCCAATCTAAATGCACACCCTCCAGTACAGAGAGCAGCCACCCGCCCCATGAGCCTGCTGAGCACCTGAGATGCGGTGGGTCCACGTGGAGATGCACTATGAATATAAACTACGTTCTAGATTTTGAAGACTTAGACAAAAAAAACTATTTCTAGTAATATTTAATTGTTACATGTTGAAATTGTAGTATTTTAGATATATTGGATTACATATTACATGAAATATACTGCTAAATTACTTTTGCCTATTTTTCCTTTTTTAAATATGGCAACTAAAATTTTAAAAATTACATTTGTGGCTCACATGTATACTTGCATTATATTTCTTCTCTCTTAAGATTTTTAATTGTTTTCTTTTTAGAGAGAGAGAAGAAGGAAGAGGGAGAGACAAACATCATCGATCCGCTGCCTCCTGCATGATCCCTACCAGGGATCTAGACTGCAACCAGGGCATGTGCCCTGACCAGCAACCTTTTGGTGCACGGGATAACGCCCAACCAACCTCATGGGCCAGGGCTCATTGGATTCTATTTCTAATGGTCAGCACTGATCTAGATCATTCTCTCCCTTCTGTGCTTTCTAACTCTTCCAACATCTCTCCAGCTTTGTCATGCAGTTTGCTCCCTCTTGTGGTCTGTGGAGATCTTTACATGTACTAATTCACCTTAATCCTCTCTCAACAGCCTCTTGAACTTTCCAAGTAATGCATACAATATATTAGTTTCAGGTGTACAACATAGTGATTTGACATTTCTATACTTTCAGAAATTATCATCATGATAAGTCTAATAAGTATGTCACCCTACAGAGTTGTTACTATATTATTGATTATATTCCCTATGCTGTACACTACATCTCCATGGCTTATTTATTTTATAACTGGAAGTTTGTAGCTCTTATTAAACTTGACCCTTTTCATCCATCTATCCACCCCTCCCCTCTGGCAACCATTAGTTGGCTCTCTGTGTCTGTGAATTTGTTTCTCTTTTTGTTTTGTTCGTGTGTTCTGTTTTTCAGATCCCACACATAAGTGACATCATGTAGTATCTGGCATGCTACTGTTACTATACTTCTGCCACAGGGACTTTGGACAAGTAGTTCCTTTTCCCTGCATCCTCCTGTCCCCTCCTTCATCTAGTTTTACTTTACTCCTATCACCTTCAGAAATGAACTCAAATGTACCTTTCTCAGGCTAGCCTTTCCAGCTCCCCACTCAAAGACTAGTTCAGGTTTAGCTGTCATATATTCCCATGAACTTTTCATTCATAGGGAGCACGTAACTTCCCTTGTCACTGTGCATTCACTAGTTTTTATTAATGTCTGTCTTCCCCAGACACATCTATTTTCCTCTCCTACATTTTAGCACCCAGTCCAGACCCATGGAAGCATTTAGGTTTCCTTACACGCTAATGAAGGGAGGTTTTGCAGCAGCAAACCCCAGGTTCTCTTACCTGCCAGCCATGGCTTTGTAGTAAGCAAAGATCTGATCCGCCAGCTTATAGACAAACTGATCAAAACACAGGTTCACCTGGCGAAGAGGAAGCAGAATATGTCAGTGGTGTCTGTCCAGCTTTACCACAGAGACTTGGGCAACTCAAAGAGGGCAGTGGGCAGGTCTGCCTGAAGCTGTGGGGCGAGAGGCTTTGAAGGAAAAAGAAAAAAGATTATATGGCCAAGTTAACTTTGGGAAACCTTGTTCCTTGTTCTGAAGGTCCTCAGTGAGGCACAGAGAAGGAAAAGTTCAAAAAGCTGTTGAGAAACCGCCCTCCCCACTAGTCCCTTCCTCGGTGTTACAAGGGGCCTGCCCAAGGGGGACATCACAGACAGGTCCTCATGTCCTGTAATGACTCATGTCGGCCTCCCATGGCAATCTCTCATGACAGACTTTCTTGTCTTTTCCTTTCACTGTACTTAACCTTGCTTTGCAAATAAAGAGGTGGATGGTCATTAGAAGTTTAAACACTCAAAAAAATACAATGCTTAAAAATCTTTGATTTTCAGCAAACAAGGGGCTGTCTTGCCATGTCAATATTTCATCCCAATGGTGATGCTCGGGTGGGAAGGAAGTTCACATCAGACACAGAGGATCAAATCCCAATCCTCCAATCCAGCAAGAGCAGGAAATGGCTGAGGGTGAAATTTCAAAGGGGAGTGGCAGTGTAATGTCAAAGGAAACAGATCATATTTAGGTAATTCATCTTTGATTCTTTTCTTACCAAATTCTCAGCTCTATATCCAAAGAGCTTTCATGCCTTTTGTTTTACACCCCAGGTGGCATATACAGTGCTGGCCTCATATGCAGGTAACCAAGGCATTCGACCTGGACTTGAACTTCAAGGGCGTTCGTTGGTTCTCCTTTAGGCAAAGAGCCTGCAGGGTCCAGGTGGGGGTGCCCACTCATACCCCATGATCCTCCTCTTGAACCAGCTTTGAGCATCCTTGCCCAAGTGGCTCAAGCCCCTTCCAGGCTCTGCATGCTCTTTTCCCTGAGTTTAACCTTGAGGGTGAACTATACTGTAGGTATGTGCACCCCCAGGACTGGCCAAGAGGCCATTTTTTGTGGCCATGGTGGTAGACGAAGCTTGGGTATCCATGTACATATACATGAGGTCCTTCAGGGTGGGAAACAGGGTTTGGGCATGGGAAGAGAAAGGGGTCAGGATTCACAGAAGATTGTATTTCAACTCCCATAGAAATTAGAGGATCTAGAAAGAAAGCAGCAGCTCTATTAGCTTTTCTTTGGAATACATAAACTTTCAAACAAATCTGGTGGCACTGCATACCCTAAAACATTCAAGTCTTTCCTTTATAAATAAGAATGCCCTATATTTGTATGATAATTTTACCAAATGGGCCTCGCTCCATGTTTATAGAATCTCACTTGCTTAAGTGGAACAGAGACTATCATCCAATTTCCAGAAGGTAAAACTACGTCCTTAGCGCCTTTGATCTCATGTTTCTGCCCCTTGCTGGCCCATGGAAGGACTGCACTTCCTTGCTCCTCTTTGAAAGGAGGCACAGCCACGTGACTTGCTTTGACCAATGGCCTGTGTCACTTTCAGGTAGAAGCTTTACTTATCAAAGTATCAGAATGTGATTCACCCTAACCCTTCCCCCTGCAACTAATAAATATTCCAGATGGGTCCCACACTGAAGAGGACATAGAATAGAGGCCCCAGCCAACCCATACTAGAGAAATAAACCTTTGGTTTCAGGCTACTAAGACTTTGGGGTTGGTTGTTACTGCATCACAACCTAGCTTATCCTGACCATTACAGAAATAAACCCTCTCTAGTAAACAGCTTTACCAATTGAAAAGATGGCTATGTCAGTCCTATCAGTACTATATAGAGACTCTGTGACCTTGGGGTAATGACACCTGACTCCTTGATATCTCAGATTTATTATCTGTCAAATAGATAATAAATAATAGATAATAGATAATAAAAGCACAGATTTTTAAAAAATTGTTGTAAAGATTACTTAAAATGTTTATATAGTGTTTAGCACTATGCCTGGCAAATGGTAAATACATAATAATTGATAGGTGTATTACTGTTGTTTTTATTAGCCAAGTAATCAAACCATAAAAGACCCATTGGAAAATTAATTTTACCCAAGCAGTCCTATCATGTCCCATCCCTTGAAAAAGAAAGACCTCATCCTGGTCTAGGTCCTTTAAGACAACCACTATGTTTATGAAGAGCTCTCTCTGGAACCAGTCACTGATCCCATGCTATGGTCTCCCGCAAATTCATATGTTGAGATCCTAACCCCCAAGGCTGATGGTATCAAGAGGTGGGGCCTTTGTGTGTGTGTGTAGGGGGAATTAGGCCATGAGGGTGCAGCCCCCATGAATGGGATTAGTGCTCTTATAAAAAGACCCCGAGAGCTTCCTCTGGGCTTCCACCTCATGAGGACATGGTGAGAAGTCTGTGACCCAGAAGAGCACCCTCACCCGCCCATGCTGGCACCCTGGTCTCAGACTTCCAGCTCCAGAACAGTGAGAAACACGTGCCTGTTGTTTATGAGCCACCCAGTCTGTGATACTGTTACAATTTGAACGGATTAAGACACCCGACTTGTGCCAATAGCTAAAGATGGGGAAAGTCCAGACTCCTGGAATAAGCCTTCAGGAACAGAGGGAGAAGCATCACTTGCCTCGGCTTCGATCTCGTCGTACAGAAACTGCTTTTTGAACTTGGTCAGAGCATAGTAGGCGCTGTCATTGTACAGGTCCAACGGGTAGAGGACGTACCTGAAGAAGAAAAAACAAGAACCAGCAGCTTAATAACCATCTCTCTTATGGCAGCCAGACTTCCATCTGCTCGGAAACATGAATATTTGGGAGAAAGCTAGAAAAGGAGAACTTTCAGCACTCTATGTTTCCAGCCTCCACTTAGGAATGGCTTACTTTACAATCTGCCCATAGAAATCAAAAGTCCATGATGCTAATAAATCCAGGGCCTGAAAAAATGAGTTAGCTTCCTAATCCCCAGGGATGATAACTCCCCCAGCATGACTGTTAGGAGAATGACAAAGCGTAGGAGGGGCAGATGGGCTGGTAGACTTCTGAACCTATCTGCAAGGCTGAGTCAAATCTGGTGTGGCCTTGGCCTGGCATAATGCCTCATCTGGAAAGCTTGGGGGGAAAACAGAGCTTGCTGGCAAACTAGCCTCCACCTGCACCCCAGGAACCTCCTCGCTGGCCCAAGCCTGCGTCTTACTCCATCATGGAAGGTTCTTTGGTTTCCAGGATATGATCTGTCAGGATCCAGGGCATGGACATCTCAATGGGAAACTGGATCCGCCGGCCCATGGTCAGCTCCAGGAAGAACTCTCGGAACCAGAGCTGGGAGAGGTCACAGCACTGCTGCAGGGCTTCTGGAAAGCACGAGGGAAAGGCCTGGGTTACAGCGGAGCACGAAGGGCCTGGGAGCGGACTGTTTATGAATGTTACTGTTATTCTTATGGCTGTGCTGGAGCACAGCAGGTCCTCAGAGGTATGACTTGACCGTAGACCCTGCTCTCTTGAACTTGAATGCCAGGCTAACGTTAGAAGACAGGGTTTGCTAAGCTTCAGAGGCAGAGACTGTGTGTGTGTGTGTGTGTGTGCGTGCGCACGCACGCACGCGCGGGGGAGTGGTGGTGATATTTTAGAGCGTTTGGTGCCCCTACAATGTCCACTTCCCTCCCCCTGCTCCAAAGCCATCCTGAAAATACTTGCCATTCAAAGTGTGAAGACATGCTTTTACCTGAACTGCAGCTCCGTGACCCTTATACGTGATAATTCTGAACTCACTGCTCGGAGGCCTTGAAGGCCCTTCCAAGGCTGCTTCTGTGAAAAACTTGGGACTATTGGCTAAGATCTCTCTTCAATACCAACAGATGCCTGACCACTCCCACCACTCTGGGCTGCTACTGTCCCTCTACTCTGCCCTGTCACACCTGTGCACACATCCTACAGACAGAAGAGGAGGAGTGGGGGACACAGGGCTGAGGTGCAGCCGGGAGCCTCCTTTGCTAGGAGCAATGAGCACTCATGGGCTCAGAGCTGCTGCTTAGATGCAAAACGCTGGCCCTAGGTGTGTCTGTGCGCACTGCTATTTTGATCCCCTTTACTAAGGACTTCATGCCCAGTCAGCCACAATGTCTACCAGACAAATATTTCCAGCTAAGTCAGAAGAGCTGGACTGAGCCCGGCCTTTCCTGGCTCCCAGAGTCCACCGGCAAGTGTGCGTTTTTTCCTTAGTGGCCAATGTGCCCCTTGGGTCAGTGATCACAGCTCTCTGCAACTCTGGCCTCCTGACAGCTCAGTGGCCTCCTGACAGCTCAGTGGCTCTGGGACCGGGGAGCCCCCACGCTCACCACTGATGTTGAGCAGGTGCGTGAAGAAGAAGGACTGCTTGTGGAAGTCCTCTATGGCGAGGACAATGGGGCCGTCCAGGCTGCTCCTCAGGGTCTTCTTGGAGCCGCTCTTGTCTGCGATGAGCGACTCGAGCATGGTCCGCACCATGTACAGCTTGAAAAAGAAAGACGGGCAGGTCAGGGGCTGGCCCTGCATCCGGGGGAAGGATGCGTTGTGCTGTACTTATACATATATTTTCTGAAGATGCCCTTATAAAGCTTTGTCTTGGGAAGCACCCATTTTGGGGTTGGAGAAGTGAATTTGGAACGTGTAAACTTTCAAGAGGGAGGCCAGCCAGCCCGGGAAGGCAGTTCTGTCTGGGGCCTGCGGCATCCCTGGGCAGGTGCACCAGGTAAAACTAGGAAGTTCAAGGTCCAGGTTCCTGCTTGCTCTCTCAGCCAAGGATGTGGGCATCAGAGGAGAACCTCATTCCATGCCACCCTGGAGTCCCTGCCTTCCTGGACAGCCACGGTAGCACCATGAATGGAGCATTGGACCAAGAGTCAAAAGACTGGGGTGTCAAGGCCAGGCACTGCCGCTGACTTGCTGTGTGACCTTGGGCAACAGAGTCCCACTCCAGGCCTCAGTTTTCTTATCTGCCAACATGAAGGGGTTGTAGCTTTCGAAAACCAGTCCCCTTCAGCGCTAACACTCTGAGAACTGTGAAATGGGAGATTATCAGAACAAGCCCCCACCACCTCAAGTTTTTGACCCTCAGTATTTTGAATCCATCGCCCTTTGGTAGCACCAGCTGCATGGCACAGCCTGCCGAAATCCTGGGTGAAGATTGGTACTTACACAGGAGCCTACTAGACAATTAACTCCCTCTTACAGAAGACCTTAAGTGCAAAGGGTACAAGTGCTAATCTAGATCTTTCCACATCATTTGTCTTTGAGTCTTAGGGCTGGAAGGGGCCTCGAGGAGCCAGGCTAGTCCATTCCTGCTGCCTCCTGGAGAAGTGTACCCAAACCAACCCAGCCAGGCGGTGTTATACCAGGGATCGGCAGCCTCTTCGGCCCTGTGTGCCACCAGTGGGGTGAAACAAAGCCCGCGGGGACCACTGGCAGGCCTAAGACATAGATAGGAGAGAGGAGGAGGGGATGGGAGGGCAGGAGAGACAGGGAAGAGGGAGAGAGAGAAAAGAGAGAGAGAGAGAGAAAAGCAAGAGGTATTGTATACGGTGGGAAAGCCGTCACGACTGCTAGGGGCCACTTGCCGACCACCTCTGAGATGCTCCAACCTCCCTCTGCCGCAGGTCCATCCTTCTCTGGGACCTCACCCACCATGCGCACTGCGCAGGGCAGCGAGGCCACAGAAAGGAGCGGCACCATCCTACCATAGCCTTCCCTTCGCGGTAAAGGAGCTACCATGGATGCCGGTCTATCAGAAGTCCACCCTCTGCAACCCTGTCGGTGGGCATGTCTATCACCCCTAAGAACCGAGAAGCCCTGTTCTAGCGATGGCCTAGGAGGCCTCGAAGAAAGCATTCTTATGTCCATCCATGTGAGTGTTGATTGATTTATATCAAATTCTAACGACTTGTCCATAAGAGGGGGAACTCTTTTCCCACCTCCTTTTAAATAGAGCATTTGACCCACCAGGACAGTCCAGCTACGCTGGATGCCCATGTCGACTGTGCTCCGAAGTCTCTAGCAGAGCCCTGGGTGGGAGTCAGGAGACCTGGTTCTTATCCCACCTCAACCTGTGACTCACCTTGCGGCTTGGACAAGTCACTTCCCCTCTCTGGACCTCAGTTTCCCCATCTGTAAAATGGGGGGAGGGGCCTGGGACTAGTTTGTGTCTAGGGGTGCTCCCAGCTCTGACTGTCTAGGAGCCTATTAAATGCATCTGTGCCACCTAACATGACTCGGTGGTGCTGGGGGGCTGATTGCTGGTGACATGCACCTTTCGCTTGTCTATATAAATAGTCCTGCTCTCTCCTCTCTCTTCTGTCTCTTTCTCTGCCTGCTGGTCCCCCTTGCTCACCTTCCTCCTTTCCAGTTTCTCTTGTGCCTTGTCTGTCTCTCCCTCACTCATGTCTAGGACTCACAGAAACACCGAAAGCCCCGCTCAGCTCCTCTGGGGCATTCTGGGATAGAAAGGTCTCTGGCCCCTAACATTACACAGAACTCTATGCAGAAGCTTCCTCAGGACGGTCCACAACCAGCAGGCAAGGTGAGTGCACACTGACCACAGTTGGGAAGCCAGGGGATGTTAATGATGACAGAGCTGAGAACACACCTCGCCCCTGTCCCTCTTCCCCATCCCCCTGCCCAGACACAGACACACACACGGTGAGAAAGGTCAGGGATGGCTCCTCGCAGGGACTCAGGATTTCAGGGCGGAGAGAGGCTGAAAGGTCATGTGAAGCGGGAGTCCCCAGCCTGGGCTTCCGGGGCCTGGACAACCTTTAAACACTTCCATGGAGCCATATGCTTTCCCCCAACACTTCGTAAGCCTACCGAAAACTGGCTGTCCTTTAAAGAGATTTAACTAAGATGCCCAGATTCTTTATTTTCCCCCTGGAGTTTTACAACTGCTTTGGATAAGCCACAGGCAACCTGTTGTTGTTCAGAAGCTCCAGCTGGAAACTTTGAATATCTCTGATTACTAGACGTTCTCTAAGGAGTCAAGGGCTTTCAATACTTGTCCTTCTGGGGTCACGGGGGGAATAAAAAGAAGGACCTAATCAGAAACATGATCTCATGCAACGTTTTCATTTAACAGAGAAGATAGTCAGAGCTCAGAGAGGTTGGCACTTTCCCAAGACCACAGGGCAAGTCAGAGGCAGAACCTGTGAATTCGCAAGCTCGGATGTCACTGCAGGGGAAGGGGCAGGGTTCATTAAAGAGGGACAGGGCAGATGCACAGAGTCTACTTCAAACTCCTCCTACACTTCGGAACCAGTCCCGGTATTACCCCCATTTGCCAGATTAGACAACTGAGGCACAAAGAGATTACATAACGTGCCCAAGGTCACACAGGTATCTAGGACGAGAATCCAGGTCTCCTGAATCTTAAGCCAGTGGTCCTCCCTCCTCTGTCAAAACCAGATGGTAGAATAAGACTAGAGCAGCTGCTTGACCCTGCCCCTCCTGCCCGAGGATCCCCAACCCTGGTGCCCTATGGTCCAGCCAGGATGACCTACCAGGGCCTGGCTGGCCTCAGTCAGCAGAGCTGGCTTGTGCCCAGAGCCGCTTACCTGTGTGCTGGAGGGCCCCACAGCACGCCGGGGCACCTTGATGTCAAATCCACCTTTGGGATCCTTCTCCCCTCTCAGGCATGGATCATTGGGGGGCTCTCGGCCACCCTCCCAGTCACAGATGGTCTTCCGAATTGCCTGCAGGACACTGGGAAGGAAGGACGGAGGCTCAGACTCGGTTTTAGCACCAGGAGGAGGGAAACACTGCAAGCCTGTTTCTAGGGTCTGTGGTGCCCCAGGGCCACTTTCCCAGAATTCCTGGGGTGCTTGTCAAAGGTGCTCATCCTGGGCCCCACCCCCGAGATGCTGGTGTAACAGATCTCAGGTGCAGTCCAGAGTCTGCATTCTACAGGCGCCCAGGTGACCCCAATGCCAAAGGCTACCTGAGACCTCAGCTCTAAGCCTGTGCAGGGGCTAAGAACTCAAGTGAGGTAGGACGGCTGTTTCTGTTTTTGGTTATAGGAGAGTCTCATTAGTCCAATTATATCTCTGATTATTTAAAGCTTTAATAATAGCATATATTCATTGCACACTTACTCCATGTGGCTGTGTGCTTAGGTCTACACGTGGATTATCCAATTTTATCATCCCAACAGCCTATGAGCAAGAACCATTATCTTCCACATTTTACAAATGAGGGAAAGTGAGGTTCAGGGAAGGTAAGTAACTTGATGAGGTTCACCTAACTGTCTAGCGGAGATGGGCTTCCAACCCAGAGACTGAGGACCAGTCATCTCAAATGTCCAGTCTCCTAAGAAGGTTTCCTAAAACCTGCCGGACAGGTCTGTGTGTTCAGAGGCTGCCCTGGAAGCTGACTGAGCAGGGATCTCCCTCTGTGCTCTGCACCTCACACCCCTGATTTCCGATGTGCCCTGAAAAGGGCCATCAGAAGACCCACCTGATAAGAACGTTCTTCTTCTTCCGAACCGCTTGCCTCAGGGGCTCACGCAGCGTCACCTGGGCAAAGTCCTGCAGGGCCGCGTAGATGGTGTTCCTGATGGCCTGGTTGAAGACGCTCTCCATCCTGCCCATGAGCACCTGCAGGCCTTTGATCATGGCGATCACCTGCCGGGCACAGATCAAGGTCAGGCTCCCCGCACCTGGGCACACCTGTCTGTCCAGTACCCTTCACCGCATCATAGGGAGGGCGCTGGGTGAGATGCCAGAAGCACGAGGCCAGCCAGTGCTACCTTGAGTGCCGTCCATGGCTAGATTGGAAGTGAGTGCTGGAACGGAAATCAGCACTCTGCCCCTCCATCAGGAAAGCCCTGCGGCCAAGCAAAGAGGTCGCTGCCGATTTTCATTCCGGCACCAGCTCCCTACCTTGCTGCGGACTGGTGACAAACGGCAGCTGGTCCATGGACCGCATTTTGAGTGCCACTCTGACTTCTGTGGCCTCTCCACACAGCATGCACCCACAGGCCATATCTAATAGAACTTTTTTTTTTATCATGCACATTTTAAAAGAATTTTTACAGTCTTTGCTTTTGAAATAATTTGGCCAGCTGCTGCTTGAACCCGTAAAATAGGGTTCCTGTAGAAGACTCGGGGGGAAGCCTCTGCCCCTCTAGTTGCCTCCTCCCCAGCCCCTTAACTCACTAATCCGCCTGGAGACGTGGGGAGACTGGTGTCTGTGATGAGTATAGCCCTTGGTGCTCTTTCTTGGGATCTTGGGATCTGCCTGCCCCCAGGGCGAGTGTCCTCTCCCCTGGGTTCCTGTCTTCTCTTAATCATCCCCTCCCTGCCCAGGAAGGGAGCATGTATTTCTGTAGCTGCTTTGCCTGTTTCCCAGTGGGTACGTTTATTGGGATGGGGGAGAAATAGGAAGTCTGGTGTGGCCTTGGGTGGCAGCACAATCTCTGGTCCAGCTTTACCAGCAACAAACCTAATTCGTAACCCCCCACCCCCACCCCCGTTAGTCTCAAGTGCTCATTCCAAGATTGGTTCAGAATTCAGAGAAGAAAGCATGTGCCACATCAGCCTCATGACAACACCACACTTATCACACCCGTTAGCAGTGGAAGTGCCAGGAGGTCTGGGGAGCACTCAGCTCCAGGCCAAGTATGATTACAATTACACCCCTGAACCCCAGTCCTTTAAGGTGCAGCCTGGAGATGTGCAAAAGAGCAACCTGAACTCCTGCTATGCTCTGACCCTTTCCAGCTTCCATAGCTCATCGACATCATTATCCCCTTTGACAACTGTTGTTTGGTTCTCAAGAATAACCCTGGGATGAGTGGGTAGAGACTGTCGGGTCCATTTTACAGATAAGGAAGTTGAGGCTCTGAGAGATGAAGTGATCTTGGGCCCAGGGCTAGGATCCAGGTCTCTGACTTCTAGGCCTCAGGTGGTCATGAAAGAGGTAGTTGTCACTCACAACTGAGTGTGAATGAGTCTCCCCCAAATAGAAATATCTTTTTGCAATGAAACAAACAGAAATTACCACTGTCAATATAAAAACTTATGTCTTTCAGTTTTGAGTAAATATTCAAAAGTATATCACTTTTACTATAAATGAGGTCATTTTTTACATGCTGTTCTTTAACCTGTTTAAACTCAACAATACACTGTGCATATCTTTCCACATCAGTACATCCATCTTAGTGGCCACAGAGTTTTCGATGACATGGCGGGACCTTCATTTATTTTACCTGGTCCCATACTGAGGACATTTCAGTCGTTTCACATATTTTGGTATTATAAACAATACTGTGATAAATATCTATGTGCACATGTCTTTGTACAATTGGCTTAATTCCCTGGGATATATTTCTAGAACCTTCTGGGCCAAAGGGTATGCACATTAAACATTTGGGTACAGCCACTCAGACTGCCTCATAGAAAGATTGTATAATGTAGCCCATAGATGGGCTACCCAGTCTCTCAGAAGGTCTATTCCCACGCTTCACCCAGCCACAGGCATCACCAACCTTCCAAGTCCTTACCATCCTAACTGGTCAACAACATTACCTCATCTTAGTTTCAATCTGCAGTTCTCTCTGAACACTCATTGGTTTGGGCATTTTTCCGAGCTCTTTTTTTTTTTTTTTCTGAACTCTTTCAGCCATTTTTTGGTTGGTTTGTTTCTGCTGCTGTTTTCCTTTTGCCCATTTTTTTTTCTAGTGGAGTGAACACTTTCCTTTGGATTTTTAAGAACAGAATGAATTTCTAATCGTTTGTGACTAACCTGACAGAGATGAACTTTGGGGGCAGGAAGGGGGTGGGAAGTGCATGCACAGGAGGGGACCAAGGCTGCCAGCTTGCTGGAAACCATTCCCTCCCACTGCGGGACCCTGAGCAGCAGCCTTGGGGCTGGAGGAGACCGGCACCCACCTCCACAAAGGCGAACTTCTCCTCGCTGGTGTAGTTGTAGCGCGTGGCTCTCTCGTACTCCTCGGCCGTGCCCGGGCAGTCCTTGTTACAGAACTTGTCGGTGGGGTGAACCAGCTTCCAGGAATACTGGGTGGGGGGTGGGGGGTGGGGAACAACACAAATGTCCATCAGTGGAGCAATGGACAGACAAAAGGAAGTGTGACCATGCCCTGGGAGATTATTCAGCCACTGAAGGGAATAAAGTTCTGATTCATCCTACAGCATGGATGGACCTTGAAACCATACAAAGTAAAAGAGGCCAGCCACAAAAGACCACATAATATAGGATGTACTTTAGGAAATAACCAGACTTGGAAAATCTATGGAGACAGAAAGTAGATTAGGGCAGGGGAGACAGGGCATGGAGGGGGGGTGCAACTGATTTTTGCAGTGATGAAAATACTCTAAATGTGTGATTGCACCACTCTGTAAATATAATGAAAACCAGGGACTCTACATTTTAAATGGGTGAGTGGCATGGCATGGGAATTGTATCTCAGTAAAGCTGCTATAAAAACGGTGCTTGGGGGAAGGCAGAGGCAGACAGGTTCCAAGTGAACCGAGGTCGGTCTGAAGGGGCAGGAGAGGGGCAGCCTCCGCCTGGGGCACCTACCACCTCCATGACGTGGGCGCTCCACTTGGATAAGAGCTGCAGGCCCCGCAGGGCCAGGTCGAAGAGCTCGCGGTACTCCTCGTCGGACTTCTGGCTGTCCAGCCCCGAGCCCGTCACCACCTGGGGAGCATGAGCCGTCACCCCCACCATCCACGTGCCTGGCACTTTTATGCATTACTTCATTGATTCCCCTAAGATTGCTACAAAAAGATGCTTTATGACATCCCCTTCACAGATAAAGTGAGGCTCGGACAGTGTCCTACTGAGTGAGTTAATGTTCATGAAACAACAACATTATTACATAAGGTGACTTTAATCAGAAAAGCACAAGGTTGATCGGATGATGAAAGGGTTGTGACCAGATACAGGAACCTAATTCAGTATTTCCCCCAGGGAGCAATGGTTCAGAATTGGTTAATTCAGTGTTCATGGCCACTTCATAGAACATTATTGCGAATAACGAGAACGGTCTGCATATCCACACATATAAAGCATATGATTTAAAAATAACTTTGAGCCAGACTCATTCTTAGACCACAACCAAAACTTCACAAGGAATAAAGGAGACCCCTGCTCTTAAAGTAGGGGTCCCACAGCCTTAGTTCAGTTGACTGGCACATATGGTTAAGAAAGTCCAAGAGTTTGCACTTGTCCCTGGTCCATGCCCACTGGCCTAAGACCACACTGTCTGCATTTGTCTGGCTGTCCTCATTTCAAATACATTGCCTCTTTGATGCAAGGCGTTTCCGAGTTTGGGTTTGGAAAGCATGGGCACTATGGCTCCCAGCCACATGGTACAACCAGTGAGCAAACATGGGACAGTGCAGTCATCCACCCAAGAGCTCCAGGTAACAAAGGAACTCAAATCAGGACACCTGTGCTATTAAACCAATATATACACTCATTGGAAAGGTTTAGTGCAGTGGTTCTCAACCTTGGCTGCATATTAGAATCACCTGGGAATCTTTTTAAAATCCTGATTTCTGGGCCTCATCCTCCGGAAATTCTGTTTCTTTGTTATGGGGTGGGGCCACAACATTAGTAACAAAGAAACAGAATTTCCGGAGGATGAAGCACAGAAACCAGGATTTAAAAAAGATTCCCAGGTGATTCCAATGTGCAGCCAAGATTGAGAACCACTGGTTTAGAGGGAAGAGATTCAGGAGTATATATACACTCAAATGTCAATCATAGTCAGTTCTGGGTAGTAGGATCTTACATGACTGATTTTCCCTCCTTTTGCATATCTTTTTTTTTCTTCTTCTGAGGTTTGAGCATTTACTATGTCCCTAATTGTATTTTCTGGCTTGTTCAATGATCAGTCATTATTGTGTAATTTTAAAATATTTAGATGGTGTTATGAGCAGGCCTGTTTAGAACTCTTTCTTTTGCTATCTAGGGCGGAGACGGTTTGGAACACGTTCTAACAATTAATTCCCAATTACTCTGCTGGGCACAACGTGTTTTTCGTGCATCAGAGGGTTTAATCCTCTCAATGAACCTTTCTGGATACTATTACCCTCATTCTGCAGAGGAGGAAATGGGGGCAGAGATGCTGCATCACTTGTGATGGTCAGCAGCAGAACCAGAATCAAACCCAGTTCTGTGTGGCTCTAAAATCCATGCTCCTTGCCATTCTGCCCTCCTGCCTCTAGCGGGTATTCCCTCACTCCTGCTCTCCATCATCTCTGTGGTCATTTCTGTCCTGCCTGGTCCTCACCCCTTCTCACCAGGGGCCCACACGGGCCTCCATCCCAGCAGCTGGAGTGAGCTCACCTCACTGTTGCTGTAGCGAGCGAGTTCGGAGATGAAGCGGATGTGGTCATCTCGGATCTGAACCATCTGCTCGCAGATATTGTACTGGGGGCTGATGCTGCTCTGGGTGCAGGTCCACCTGGGCAGAGAATCACAGGGTCGGAGCAGGTCCTGGTCTCAGGCGCCTGGTGGGACAGGCTCCTTCCACTTACATGTTGCTCCTGGTGCCCAGCCAAGGTGGCTGGCTCCCCTGGGTAGAACCAAGGGGTAACCCAGATACGAGCACGACAGCCTGTTCATCCCACATCGTGGGGATCACAGGCTGAGTGGACCAGCCCTTCCTCCTCCTCTAGGACCCAATCACAGGCATTTCCAGATTCCTGGTGTCCACGTACTTACCAGTTACACGAGTGAGAAGGGAATTGCAGCCTCTCTAGGGCTACAAAGGCCTGGAATCCACGCAAGGAAAAAGCAAGGTGGGTGACCTCCCCAAGCCTGTCTACTGACTCTGACATCCTGGGGTTGAAGCTGGCTTTGGAGGGGCCTAAAGGGAAGGACTTTTCAACCGTGACCCAGTAACATGCAAGCAAGCACTTCATGGTGAGGGAGGTCATAGTCATTCATTCATTCTCTCTCTCTCTCTCTCTCTCTCTCTCTCTCTCTCTCTCTCTCTCTCTCTTCCTCCCTCCTCATCCTCTTCTTCTTCTACCACCTCTTCCTCCTCAACCATTATTTTTAAACTTATCATTGGGGGAATCAGCCTGAATTGGAGAGAAAAATGAATGAATGAAAATCTTCACTCTCCTTCCCCAAGAGAAAAAAGACAGCCCCCTTTGCCCTCTAGTGCTGGGTGACCCGGTAGACAGATTAAAAGCACAGTCACCAAAAAAGGCAGATAAACGTTTTGGCAAGAATTTAATATTTCAGCCCAGTCCAGTGTGGATCAGTGGTTGAGCATTGACCTATGAACCAGGAGGTCACAGTTTGATCCTGGTCAGGGCATATGCCCAGTTGGTGGGCTCGATTTCCAGTGGGGGGCCTGCAGGAGGCAGCCAATCGATGATTCTCTTTCATCACTGATGTTTCTATCTCTCTCTCTCTCCCTTTCCCTTCTTCTCTCTGAAATCAATAAAAACATATTGGGGGGGGTGGGGAAGAATTTAATATTTCAAAGGGAGCCCTGAAGTGGCCCTCACAGAATGTTCAGGACGGTGAGAGGCTTCCTCGTGCTGTTTTTATTTCGGGTCAGCAGCGTAGGGATGGGGACACAACCACTCTGACTGCTGCCGCCCCACCCTGGCCGCATCACTGTTCCCAACCAACTTCCGGTGGCAGGGAATTCATGCAGAAACGTGAGGAAATGAGTGCAGCATTCTGGACTCCATGCTTTTCCTAGAACACCTCCCGCCGCTCTGGCAGCCAGCGGGTTATGAAGAGACTAACCCAGGTTTCATTGGGCTAAAGGCTGACAGTTTTAAGGCTTTAGCCCTGACTAAAGAACGGTCACCCCCTCCTCTACCCTCCCCACCCCCACCCCTCACCCCGGCTGCCATATGGAAAGGTCAAAACCACCAGCTTTGGAATGAGACGCAGGCAGAAGAAACCTCTTAACAACCCCCAGAGATAAAGGCTGTAGCTGGGTGTCCCCACTCCCATGAGGCACTGACACCCCAGACCCCAGATCTTAGCGTGGATTCCCTAGGATGGTGATTTATAGAACGACCTAAGGCGAGGCCATCAACCAGTTCACGCGGCTGGAGCCGTCCAAACCATACGCGCTACGGCATACTTACTGCATGGACACGAAACCTGAGGAGGCAATCAGGGTGATAAAGAATGACGTCATCTTGCTTCTCAAGGAAGGACTCCTGCTGTCCCAGTGCAGCTGGGACAGAGAAGGGGGTGTGGCTGTGCTCTGAGCACTTTTGAACCCCAGCGGCAAAGGGTGGATACAAAAGGGCTCAGAGCACCCTCCACTGCTCCCCTCTGGAATCCACCTGCCCAGGGCTCTGGGAAGGGGGGAGGGACTGAAGTGGCCCCTCGGCCCCCTGCCCGGGCTGGGCGCCTCACGGGAGCCGAGAGACATTACGGCAGGCACTCACTTGGACTTGTTCTCTTCATAGTGAGCACTGGTCTTAATGTATCTGGCCAGCTCTATCTGCATGTCGCCGAATAGAGGCACCACCTGCAGCTGCTGCAAAGGAAGCAAACACAGCGAGTGAGATGCCGAGGGGGGACTAGGTGGCTGCCTTCCACCAGGGGAGGCAGCCTCCCTCCGTGAGCCTCTGGGCTGACCCCTCGCTCCTGCTTCCGATGATGCTTCCATGTGACCCTGGAGCCAAAAAGAGCCCCAGCCAGCATACAGGTCCCCTGCCTCCAACCAACCGTATGATTCAGCAACTCAGCCCAGAGAGGCAGAGTGACTTGTCCAAGGTCACCCAGCGGGCAGACCGGGTGAAGGATGAGGACCAGATGGCCTGCCTCCCAGGGCAGGGTCCTTTCTGCTCTAATTTCCCTCGGATCGGATGATCCTGCTGCTTGGAACTCTGGACTAGGAGTGGGTGCCTGGATGCCGCTGGCTGGGTGTAGTGTTTCTGAGAAGCTCCAGTGTAAAGTAACTGAAATCATAACACCTAACACCAGAGGGCAGACAAGTCCCATCTGAAGACCAGGACAAACGGAGGGAGGCTGACATTTACTGTCTGCTTCTGATGCACTGGGCACGTTGCCAACTACTTCAAAACCAGGGGGGTTTAGGGCAGTGTAACTACCTGTATGACACCATAGTGTGGATACATGTCATTCTGCATTTTTCAAAACCCATAGAATGTACAATGTCAAGAGTGATCCCTAATGTAAACTGTGGACGTTGGGTAACAATGACAGGTCAATGTAGGCTCATCAGTTATAACAAATGCACCAGTCCGGTGGGGGTATTGATAATGGAGGAGGCTATGCATGAATTGGGGTGGGGGGAGGGACAGGAGGTATAAGGAAATCTTCATATTTTGTGCTCAATTTTGCTGTGAATCTAAAACTGCCCTTTAATAAAAATTAAAGTCTTTTAAACAAAACAAAAAATAGTATCTCAAGTCATACAATAACCCTGTGAGGTCAGTACTATTATCATTCCCATTTCACAGATGGAGTAAAGGAAGCTCAGATAGCATGAGTGATTTTTTTACAAAGTCAGACCATGAGCCAGGGTTCCGACTCACCTATGCAATCCCACTGAACCCTCAAGGAAACCCTATAACATGGGCCCCCTCAGTATTCATGGGAGGCTGGAAACTCAGCCTCAGAGGTTTCAAGACTTTCCCAAAGTCGTCCAGCTCCTAAGTGGCAGAGTCAGACGGAAGCCCGGCCCATCCGAGGCGATGCCCAGTTCTTCCCCTCCACCCCACGTCATCACCCTAATGAAGGCAGAGGCATGCTTTGCACAGGTCCCCCGAGATGAGCCCTGTTTCCATGTGGGGCAGCTGCAGAGAAATGGAAAGTTCTAGTCTCGCCAAGAAGCCAAGGCACAGAATGACTGCTGGCGACTTATTTCCCCTTAACCTCAAAGAGTTGGTGGGACTCAGGCCCAGCCTGGTGTCCCCCATGTCACACCTGCAAAGGGGGGTCCGCTTTGAATGGGAAGCCTGGCTTTTCCAGGTCTGACCTCCAAAGCTCCACCCCATGCCTGCAGTGCCCAACACTAGCATCAACTGACAACATGGAATTCGTCTCCAAAGTAGGAAATCCTTTTGCAAAAACCTCAACGGCTTAGCTTAACCGCAGTGTTTTATTTTAAAGATTTGGGGTGAGAAGATGTAATCTCTGGGGCACTGGGACAGACTGCATGTATGAGGGAAGATCTGAGCCACGCTGCCCAGGGGCAGGGCCAGCCAAGGTGGCCTCTGCTGGGCCAGAAGAGAGGCTGTGATTTTGGCAACTGTCAATCACTTTAAAGTGCAGTCTAATCCTTCTGCTCCTGTGAGTTCAGATTTATACTGAACAATAAAGCAGTCGCTGTCTTCTGCTATGTACCTCTGTTTACATAGCAAGGGATTTGGGGGAAAGGGAAAAGCAGTCTGCATATTAGATCCTGACAAATCCCAGGGGAATCCTCAGACTTGACCAAGTGTGACTTGTAAGGGGCTGCCTTCTGGTGCAGATCCCGCTACTAAAGGCGGCTGGAGGCCCTGCCATTCTAGCCTCTCCCTCCTCCTGGGGCCTTTAGAGCTACAACCCAACCAACAAGCCTCATTGCTTGCTGGTTAATTTCATTTCTTTCCCCTGAGAGACAGCGCCTTGGTCCCTGCCCAGCCCCAGCCCCAGTGCTGACCTTAAAGAATTTATCGATTTTACTGAGGTTGATTCTCTTCTTGGCATCCAGTTTGTAGATGTTACTGACATTTCCATCCATCAGGTAGAGACCAAAACCCATCACCTGGAGTGAGAAGGGGCAGAGCACAGAAGCCTATCACATCTGATGGAAAAGTTAAAAAACAAAAACAAAAACACAAAAAAGTCTGACTGTACAGAAGAAGCCAGAGTGAACAAGTCACAACGCCACGCTCCCTGCAAACTCCATCCAGGTGCCACGGAAAGGTAAGGGAGGGCACGTCAACGGGCCTGGGATGCTTAGACTAGCCAGAGTGACAAGGAGGAGAGGAGGAAAAAGCAAAGCCACCAGAGAGCTTTGAAAGGTGAGGTTCCGGGGAAGAAAGAATCAAATGGGGCTATGCCGTGTGTAAAAAGAATGTGGAGGCTGCTCATCTCAGTGCGACAGCTGTCAGAGAGAAATTAGGAACATCCTGAGCAGCTAACAATAAAATAACGAAAAAAAGGAAAGCTCACCCATACGACGGCATTAATATTCCAACACATTTAATGAAAAGGGATAAAACTTACATATGCATCATTTATGTATACCGCATTTGTTGAAAATATATAAGCATAGAAAAATGAGAAAGAAATACATAAAAATGCTAAAAGTGTTACCTCTGGAGAGAAAGATTGTGAGAGATTAATATTTTTTGTGCTTCTCTGTTTAATTCAGATTTTTCTACAATGATCAATATTACTTGATAATTTAAAAATCAGACTTGTAAACTGATGGATCAAATATGACAATTTTGGCAAAACAGACTGTGCAGTGGATATATATCCATGTTTAAGTAAGAAAAAATATATACCGTTTTTAAAAAAATGATTTAAAATAAGAAGGAGGTGAGAGGGCATGCCCAGACCACTGGGTGCATGGCCACAGCGGTTGTACCTTGAGGAGCATGTGCTTCTCGCTGGGGGTCAGATACATCTTGTTCTCGTAATAATCCACGCAGATGTTGACGATGTCCGCCAGCAGCTCCTCGTAGCCTGGGATCACTTCCAGTTGCTGATGGAGACACTAAACAGCAGCGCCCCACTCTGGTCAGCTCCTTTTTCTGCTGTGGCACCCTCCTCATCCACACCATGTGATGGACCCCCTTCCCCCCACACACAAGCTGACCACTAGGGGGAGGAAGCCTGCATCCTCTCAATGTCCCCACAGTGGCTGGTCTGAGCTCCTGCACATCTCCCCTGGCAGGGAACTCACTCCCCTAGGGCCCTCCATGTTATTCCCTGCCAGTTTTGATGGTTAGAAAGTATATGATTGGGCTGAGCTGCAAAGCAGCTCAGCATTATAGCAGAAGGCCTGTTCATCTTCCCAGTTTAGTTTTGAGGCCGTGGACTTAGCCATGGCATCTCCTCAGATGATGGGGGATGGCCTAGCCCGGGGTAGGAGAGCTGGGCCAGCAGCAGTCTCCCTCCTGGCAGGACACAGCAGTATAGAAAGAAACGCATCTCCCAAGAGAAGGGTCTGACAACATGGGACTGCGTCCCAGGAAAGAAACCTACAGCCTCAAAGTTGATAGCCTTTTGCATTCAACAAGGAGTAGGGAGGGCCGAGCGAAGCCAGCAGCATCCCTGAGAGAGAGCCGAGTCTCCAAACCCTTCAAAGATGGAGGGCCCCACTCAGGCTGAGTCCTGCTGACATTCTTGCTGGTGCCTGTTTAGGCTGAACTGACAGATGAGCAGGACAGGTTACGTCAGACAGAGCGTGAGAGCCACCGTGGCAGTAATAACAGCTCCATTTTCTTATGCCCTTGCCATCTGTCAGGCTCTGCATACGGAGGGCTTTTGATACAGTATCTCATGTATTTCTCACAACAGTCTTATCACATGGATTCTCATAACGTTCTCAAAATCCCAGGCCCGTTTTACAGATGAGAAAACCGAGGCTTAGACCTTGCCCAAGGTCTCATGATGGGTCTAGGGTTAGAAAAGAAGGCTGTTTAACTCCAGAACCCATGCTCTCAATCTTCACTAATGTGGGGGCAGGATAGTGGCTGAGAAGGTCTTCAGGGAACCAAATTGGGAGAGGGTGAAAGGACTGTCTGGGAAGGGAGACTTAGGGCAGTGAGGGTGTTAGACCTGGGCCCAGCTCCTCTGCTCACGGTCCACCCACCCTCCAGGCCCCTGCCTGTGTCCCGGGACGCCAGGCCCGGACTAACGGGGAGTTTGCCGTCACCTGGGTGATCCTGTTGTGGTTGGCCAGGAACATGGAGAGGTTCTGCGACTCCTGGATAGACTGGGGGTCCGCCATCTTCCTCAGGAACTGCGCCGCCCTGAAACACGGGGTCGCAGAGAGGAACGCTCAAGTAACCAGCCTAACCAGGGCTCTCGGGCTCTGCCTCCCACCCAACCCGAGTGACACTGCCCCCGAGGTTAACCGGCTTTGGCATCACAGCTGACTAAAGTCAACGGGGAGTATGTTCTGGAGTCATTTGGAGTTGTTTACACCCTCTGATAAGGGTACCTGAGACTGAGAGGCAAGAATGCACTGAAGCTCAAACTCCAAGCTGAAGGGCAGCTAGCATCCTATCAACCAGCTGGAGGGGTAAGACAGTGAAATGAGCATCCCTGGCCCCACTGTGGCCTCCAGTGGACCTGCACAGCCCACCACAGAGCAGAACCAGGGGCAGGAAGCTTTGTTTTTGTTCTGTATTGTGTTCTTTATTGGAAAATCTCTATGCTTCTAAAGCAAAGCATTACACAGAACCTAGTCTATTTAACCCACTGGGATTGAGAGTGAAGGGATGTTAGGTGTGGGGAACACACGCAGGACGTGAAGGGAAAAACTGTGGCGGCCCAGATTTTTCCGGCCACTTTTGAGTCAGGCTTGTGAGGGGCTCTGCCTGCTGGGCACCCCCAGGGTTCTTTCACAGCTCACTCAGGAGGATAGCGTGTTGAGAATCAGTCTGTTGTCTGCTTTCTCCAGTTACTAGGAGCCCTGGGATGACGTGTTTCAAGGAGGAGAGGCCTTTCATCAGACACAGAAAAGCCTTCCCAAGAGATGTGTCTAGACAACACAGAGGAAATCTGCTGCTTTTGACTCACCCTCCCGCCCCCGCCCACTTTTGCGTGGCTGTACTTAATTTCTAGAGAGGAAGGAGCCCTTCCCACTCTCTGTCCTTCTCTTGAGCTGACACTGACCCCCAAGTGACCCCATGGTGAGCACCTGTCCAATCAGAGCCCCCACCCACACAATGGCTGATGAGGAACCTGGCACATGACCAAGCTGGGACTTTTGCAAAATCATTTGCAAAGAAGAGCATCGTTTTCTTCCCTTGAAGCTGGGGTGGCTATGCTGGCCCGAGGAGGGCTTAAAGCTGCCGGAGGCCACCCCAGGGCACAGCCCGCCTGAGAGAGAGCAGGGCTCTTCAGTTCCGGGAGCCAACCCATCCCGCTTCCACAGAAGCAGTTCGAACTGGCTTTCTGATTCTTACAGGAATGACTATGTGGCCACTTTATGATGATCTCACTGGCTCTGCACTACAAAGGGCAAGAGAGGACACTGCTGCTCCACAGATGGAGAAATGAGCATCTGATTCCATCTTGAGACAGAGAGCCCTGCACAGACCCAGTTCCCCCAGGACCCAGCCCTGCACCTTTCTCCTCAAACCACACAAACAGGTCCGGCCCAGCCGCTGTGTGCCTGGGGAGCGGCTCATTTGATTCTGGAGAAGGGGCCTGTTAGACAGGCTCCATCCTCTTCCTCCCCTTGGCAGGCTACCCAGGAAGTGGGAGGCAGGGGAGGCTGACCTCTTGTAGGCAGAGTGGTCGTTCTTGACGCTGCACTTCATGTTCTTCAGCTCGTCCAGGACCGCGAACATGTTGATGAACTTGCCCAGTGTCAGGAGGTAGGCCTCAGAGACAAAGTCCTTCCTCCGCTCGGCATGGCACAGCCGCTTCACCTCGCTGCAGAACCGCTCGATGGCCTTGCGCTGCAGGCAGGGAGGGGGCAGCAGCTAAGGACGGGCAGCATGGGAGGGGGCGGCTCCCTGCGCTCTCAGGTGGGGAGCAGGGTCAAGGCTCCCCTGGGGCCCTGGTCAGAGTCTGGACGTTTAGAAGCAAATCCGCCAAGAGGTCTTCCTCAGAGGAGTTCCTACATTCAAAGCTGACTTCTCAAAGGAACACACCACCCAGTGAGTTGACCCCACGCATTTATTCGTCAGGCTTTTGCAGAGAAGCACCGTGTTATTCACTTTTGTATTCCAGTGCCTAGGACAGTGCCAGGCACCACTCGACAAGGGGGCAGAGATTCAGAGAAAGAGGTTCATTCAACCAATAAATAGTGTTTATTGAGTATCTACTAGGCACTAGGCACCATTCTAGGCACCGGGGTAAAGAAAGAATGAAAAAAAATAATCTCTACCCTACGGGGCTTACATTTTAGTGAAGGAAGACAGAAAACAAAATAAACGACTTCTGTACATTACAGTGTGATATGTGTTATGGAGAAAAATAAAGTGGGGAAAGGGGGTGGGAGGATGCTTGCCCAGAGCTGGGATGAATGGGAGTATAATGGGGTGTCAGCAACAGGGAATGGGATTTCTTTTTGGGGTGATGAAGATGTTACAAATTGACCCTGGTAATGAACACACAACCCGGTGAATGTACTAAAAAATCATTGAACTGTATGAATTATCTGGTATGTGAATTATTTCTCAATAAATCTGTTACCAAAAAAAGCAGCTGAATAACAATCCACAAACAAGGCTAAAGAGTAACCCAGAGAGAGCCAGAGGGAGGAAGGGGAACAAGAGGAGGAGAGGAGAGAGAGAAATGACTCCTGGGTGTGCTCTCCCCTCCTCAGGCCGGGATACCCACCCGTAATTCCTCGCCTGTGAAGACCAGACTGGCCACGCCTTCTCCTTCCAGAGCCTACGTCCAATAGCACTTTCTATGATGGTGGAAACGTCCTGTGTCTACAACCCCTAATACGAGAACCACTCACCACATGTGGCTACTGAGCACTTGGTGGTTTGGGCAACGGAGGACCTAGATTTTACATTTTATTTAATTTTCATTAATATAAATACCCACATGGGGCTACCATATGGAACAGTGTAGCTCCAGGTAATCCCAGGTCATCCTTTTGCGGTTTCTGTATAGTTTTTCTCTCTTGGACCTGCCTTCCTAAAGAGTCCATGATGCTATTAACAGCAGCTTCGATGTGTTAACCCTCCTGTGTAACTAGGGCTCTACGTGACTCTTTACAATAGACTTCTTTTATCCTCGCCACAAACCTGTGAAGTAGGTACTATTTCCAAGGTGAGAAGACTGAAGGCATCAGATATGCTATGTCACTCACAGGCACAGTCACACTGTGGAGGAGCCTGGGTCTCCTGCCTCCGGAGCCAGCGTTCCTGCCCTGGGCTGCAGGTATCTGCACCTTCCCAGACACCCCATCTCGCGCACAGCAGGCCATGCAGAGCTGAGTGTGGGGTGGCTATCTGCCAGAGCCTGGAAGTCTCTTTACCAGCCTGAGCTCTCCGTGGAGCACGTGCAGGGCAGAGTGTGTGGCATGACCCCTGCCCTGGGGTACAGACTGGTCTTAAAGTGCTCAACCTGCATTCTTGAGCAGCTTCCAACCTGAGCATAATAATCAACCTGTTGCCTTATTTTTCCTTGGTTATTTCTGTTTAACGAGCTGCCCTCCTTTTTTTTTTTTCTTTTTCTTTTTTAAATTTAACTAGCTTGCCCTCATGAAAGCCCTTGGCTGTCTTTTTCCTCTTTTCCTCCTTTAAAGATCAGTCTTCCTGGTTTCCCAACTGGTCTTCCTGCTGCCACTCCTGTCCCCTCCCACCCTTCACACCTGTGCTGCCCTCACCTCCCTTCCATTTCCCACTGAGCAGCCAGATGTTGTAAACCCACCAATCAGATCATGTCACTAAGGAAAACTCACAGGAGAGAGCCCTGATACCCAAGGACTGATGGTGGAGAAGACATAGAGACTGGTAGGAGGGGCGGAGGCAAGAAAGGGCTGGCCAGGCAACCACAGACAGCAACTGAAGTCCCAGAGAGATATCTCAGGTGTGTGTGGGGGGGGGGGGTGCCACTGAGAACCCTGAGATCTAATCCCAAAGCCGGGCTCCCAGGAAGAGAGCACCAAACTGAGGAGGGTACCCACATAACATCTAGCTGTTAAAAGCAGTGGGGTGCTGTCTGCCAGGGAGTGGCAGCTGAAAGTTTGGGCACCCTCTTAAAGGGCCAATGCACAAAAATTCCCTGTGGAGCTACCCACCTTGTGCTCTGGCTGAGGGAGGGTGAAGTGGACTGGAGCTGTGAGAGCAGAACCCAGGACTAGGGACTCGGGGGATAGAGCTCAGAAGGTGGACACCCCAAGTTTCCTGGGCTGAGTCATTACCTCACACAGTGGAGGACATCTTTCCAACATAGACATCTGCCTTGCATGGGGGGAAAGACAGTCTACACACCCTATTGGAAAACACCTTGCCCTGAGGCCACTTAAGATATTAAAAGTAAAAATTAGCCTCCAGGCAGAAGCAACTGCCCCACCCTGTTGAAAAAATTCTTGCCACACTGGAGGATGATTGCCTGGAAGCAATTCAAGTCACATCCTATTAGTCTGTAGACAGAGGCAGCCTCTGGAGGCTTTGAGTCTTTGCCTGATCCAATTAGCCAGAAGCAGCCTTTAACACTGTCCTGCACTAGTGACTGAGAAGTATAGAGGATCTACCTAAAACATAGTCACAAACCCAAACAGACAACCAAAATGATGAAACAAAGAAACAACCCCCGAATGAAACAACTAGTGAATTCTCCAGAAGAAGAGATAAGTGAAGCAGAGATAAGAAATTTATCTGAAACAGAATTCAGAGTAATGATGTTAAAAATGCTCAACAGTATGAAAAAAGATATAGTAGCTATGAAAAAAGAACAGTCTGAGATAAAGAATGACATAACACAAATAAAAAACACATTGGAAGGAATACATAGCAGATTAGGGGAAGCTGAGGATCAAATCAGTGAATTAGAAGACAGAGTTGAAAATATCACTCAATTAGAGAGCCAAAAAGAAAAAGAAATTAAAAAACAGGAGGTCAGCATAAGGGAGCTGTGGATCAATGTGAAACACAACAATATTAGAATAGTAGGTGTGCCAGAAGAGGCAGAAAGGGAGAAAGGAATAGGGAAGGTATTTGAAGAAATCATGGCAGATCCTGTCACTAGAAGCCTCAGTGGTTTCTGTGGTGATTTAATAAAATCTGCACACTGTTTTCACATCCTACTTCATGGCCTGCAGTTCCCTGTGTGAGCAGGTCCCTGGCTACTGCTCCAGCCTCACCTTTTATCCCTCCCTCTCCCACTCTGCAGCCTCCCTGGCTTCTTTCTGTTTCTTAAACACATGAGGTCCCTTCGAGCCTCAGGGGCTTGGCCTTCACAGTTCCTTCTGCCTGAAACCCTCTTCCTCAGACCATCACACACCAGCCCTTCTCATCACACAGACCTCAGTTCATATGCCACCTCCTGAGAGGCCGTCCCTAAAGCTGCAGCCAAGTCGCAGACACCTGCAGACCAGGGATTTTTGAAATGTTATTTATTCACAGCACATATTATGCCCTGAGAATTGTTGTTTGTTATTTATTGTCAGTCTCTCCTCCTGCCCAGAACATACTCCTGTGCTCACTAGAATGGAAATTTCAGGGAGGGAGGGAGCTGTCCATCTTGCTCACCCGGGGTGTGTGTCAGGGGCACTCAAAAAGTATTGACCTAATGAATAAGCAACATGGCACAAAAACCCAGACCCGTGTGTGCAGAAGGGCAGGGGCCTTCTCTAGTCTCCTGATCCAGATTCACCAATCCCTCACCTGGAAGTACATGAACTTCATGAGCTTGGTGACCTCCGGCTCCAGCACCTCCACCGTCTTCTCGTATATCTCCACACGGTTGGGCTGCTCGTTGCACTTCACCTGTGGGCAGAGGGGTCTCAGACATCCTGATCCGCCCAGGCAGCCCTGGGTCACGCCTGTTGACTTATTAATGGACCCCTTTTCACTCCTGAATGCACCTCGTCCAGGATGATAAATGACAAGGTCACCCTGGTGAGAGGAGGCTGGGGTAGCCCTGATTGGGGGCGACACTGCTCCCCAGACACTGGCTGCAGGAAAGAAACCAGCTGGTCCCAAGAACAGAACCGTCCACCTTCAGTCTGTCTGTACTGTGACCAGTCGCTATACACACGTCCACGTTTATCTGTAAGATCTCCCTCCTTCAGCCCTTCCTCACTCTAACCCCAGAGGGGCCCCACCAGATTCCCGGCAGAGAAAAATGTCCCAGCCACTGCTCCGGATGCACCCGAGGCAGAGCCCCCCTGGCCACACTCAGGCCCACCAAGAAACCCATGTGCTCTGCCCAACGGTTTTCAACACATCACAACCACATGGTGGGTGTTTTCACAGCACACACACCCGGGAGTGCTAACAAGGTGGCCGAAACTGATGAGTGAGCGAAGGGTAAGTTCAAGGTCATTCTTCACACTGTTGTTTAGAAATTCTTAAAACAGGAGCAACAAGCTCAATGTCCAGGTGATTGAAAGGATAAAATATGATACACTCAATTCAATATCATTATGTAACAAGGAATGAGACAGATCTATGTCACCTGACATGGACAGACTGCCACTATAAATTGACAGGTAAAAACTGTGATGGGACAGGAAGTGTCACTTAGTCCCATTTTTGTTAAACAAATCAGTGTGTGTGCGTTTGTTCATATATGTTACAGGCATAGTTACCCCGGGGGACTAAGATTAAAGGAAGGGTGAGGAACTGTTTCTCTTTACACATCTGTGCCTCATGGATTTTATTAAAATGGGACTCATGAAATATATGACAATTATAATGATGGTTGACACATACACATATTATCCGTATGTGTCAACATGAAAAAATGTCATTGATAAAAAATAAAGTGTAGCCCAGCTGGCGTGGCTCAGTGGTTGAGTGTTGACCTATGAACCAGACGGTTACGGTTCGATTCCGGGTCAAAGCATATGCCCAGGTTGTGGGCCCCAGTGGGGGGTGTGTTGAAGGCAGCTGATCAATGATTCTCTCTCACCTTTGATGTTTCTATCTCTCCCTCTCCCTTCCTCTCTGAAATCAATAAAAATATATGTTTTAAAAAAGAATAAAGTGTAAAAAAATCAAGTGGCAGAACTATATAAGTAAAAAGCAACATACACTTTGTAAATAATTATTTACAAAATAATAATCATAGAAATATTCAGGATAATCAGTGAGAAAGATCCAGGGGAACAGGCAGCAACACGTGTCCATAGTGATCATGCTCGGTTGGGAGGTGGGTTTGGGTGGTGGGGGTGAGGAGGTGGGGCTGTCTTGCCTTTTACTTTATACCTTTCTGCAATGGTTTGGTGTTGTACAGTTAGCATATACTGTTTTCCAAATGAAGTATATTGAACAATTTTTTCGAAGTTGGCATCAGTTTTATGGGAAACTCTCTGAAGGTTTTCAGCGTGTCCCCTTGGATTAGCTTTGCTCCCTGCCACCTGGAGAAGCTCAGCTCCCTGAATGGGGTAAGGGGGAGGGTGGTGGCGTCCCCTGGCAGCAGAGAGCCCCCAGGGAAGGACAGCCTCACCTGGGGGATGGCCCGGGAACAGCTGCGCCAGGTGTACAGCATGACCGCATACTCGTGTCCTTCCTCCAGCATTTCATTCTGAAAAGCAAAACACGCTCATCAGGGAGAAACCACCCTGGTGCAACAGGCTTCTCATCAGCCCCCCAAACCTCACTGCTCAGTGAGATCTGTGCACCAGCAGCATCCCCATCACCTGGGAGGCTCATTAGGAATGCAGAGCCTCAGGCCGCTGCCTGGCTGACAGAATCAGAATCTGCATCCAGGAACATTCCCAGGGGACTCACCCTCCCAGGTGCAACGTAAGTTTGAGAAGCACTGGCCTCAGGTATTCTCATCAGACACCAAGGGCTCTGTAAGCAGGCTGCAGTTCTCAAAGACGGATAGCCACCTCATAAAGAAGGCAACAGATCTATTTGTTCCAACAGCAAAAGTTGTCCCAGATATACTTAGCAAGAAAATAAGCAACTAGCAAAACAGTATGCATAGCACATAGGCTATAAAGAAAAACTAAACAAAGAGTAGCAATTAGGAAAGTATATTATGGTATATTGGAGATATTTTGGTGGAATAGGACTAGCAGGCTCTCTGTGGGGCACTCACTTTTCCTATCACATAGGACCATAATGTTTGCACTTTTTTAGAAGAGCTTATGTGACTATTTCACAAGCAGAAAAATTATTAATATCAATTCCTTAAAATAATGCAGAGCAGATAGCGAAACCAACAACAGCACCAAAAATAAATCTGAAAAATACAGTGATGATGCACCACACCTAGTAAGTGCTATCATGGAAAGAGCCCTAAACTCAGGGTCCAAATATCTAGGCTCCAATCTCAGCTTCATCACTCCTTGGCCGTTTGGCCTTCAGGCAATCACTGAACATAAGATTCTCCATTTAGTGATGATGACAATAACAACCTCAGAGAGTTTTATGAGAAGTACAGGGAATACACACACACACACACACACACACTATGTAATCTGTAAAGGGAGCCAATAGTATTACGAGGAAAAAGAACAGTCTGGCAGTTTCTCAAAAAGTTAAACATAGGGTAACCTTATAACCCAGCAATTTCACTCCTAGGTAAATGCCCATGGGTCCACACAGAAACTTGCATACTTGTTCACAGTAGTATTATTCTAATAGCCAAAAGTAGAGTCAACCCAAAAAGTCCAACAACTGATGAATGAAGAAATAAAATGCAGTACAGCCAGAGAATGGAATAGTATCTACACTAATAAAGGAGAAACATGCAAGTTGGTGTCACTCCGCTATGCCCACCAGCTGATCAGAATGAGTATGCAAATTAACCCAACAAAATGATGGTTGATTTGCATATGCAGGCGTGGAACGAAGACGGAAGATGACTGAAGACTGAAGAGGCTTGCCTTCTCTGCTGTGGTCGGAGCGGAGAAGCCTCGAGGCTTGGCTTCTCCGCTACGGCCGGAGCGAAGGCCTGGGGCCCGGGGGCCAGAGGAAAACCAGTGCCGGCAGCCAGGGGAAGGAAGGCCTATTGCACGAATCTCTTCATGCAACAGGCCTCTAGTGCATCTATAAAAGGAATACAGTGCAGATACATTATACTAGCACAACATGGAAGAATTCTGAGAACATGATGCTACATGAGAGAAGCCAGGCACAAAGGCCACATATTGCAGAATCCATTTAGATGAAATGTTCAGAATCAACAAATCCACAGAAACGAAAAGTAGGTTAGTGTTTGCCAGGGAATGGGAAGAGAGAGGAATTGGGAGTGACTACTAACGGGTTTGGTTTTTTGTTGTTGTTTTTTGTGGTGACAGAAATTAGATAGTGGTGATGGTTGTCTAACATGGTGAATATATTAAAAAACACTGAATTGTTCACTTTAAAGGGTGAATTTTATGTTCTATGAACGATATCTCAAAAACACAGTAAAAAAGAGTATTACTAGACCATCTTTTCTGTAAGTGTTTGTATTGATATAAAAATGAACCCTTACTGATTTATTTTTTTTACTCCACATGTCATGTCTATTTCATAATACCTTTCTAGTACAAGGTCAGATTTAATTTAGAGCTCATTACTTTTTATGGTTTTGTTTTCAACAGCCAATGCCACCGACAACTCACACTTTCAATCAGCACTTTGAAAATCAGGAACACGTTGCCCTTGAGATGACAGAGAACCAAGGTGAAACGTGTGGGTCTCCTGCTGCCATTGCTTCAGAACACACATCAGAAAAGGGACGTGACAGCAACATAAGGAGCATGTTAGCAACAAACTTGGCCCTTGGTAGGTGTGAGTATTCCAACTCACTCACCCAAAGAATGTTTGAGCCCTGAGGGGGTCCCAGGCTCTGCGCTCTGTGCTGGGACTAGAGCAGTGAACAGGATGAGATGGACTCTGACCTATGGCCAGGGCAGGTGACCATCAACCAGGTTTGTTGTATAACTAAGCCTGCGGTATAGAGGTCAGAATGGCGTGGTGGAAGGCGCCCCTGGTGGGGCCATGGAAAGCTTGATTTCTGGTCCTGGCTCTGTTGGGCCCACCTTTTACCTTGAAAAATGTCATGGTTTTCTCACTGGAGGAAAAGAGTTGGTCTCAATCACTGTCTCACCCCTGGCTGCACATTAGCCACCTGGGGAACTTGGAAGATTCCTGATGCCCAGGCCACGACAATCCCAGAAATAAATCATTATCCCTGGGTAGGGAGCCCAGGCATTAGCATTTTCAAATGCCCCCCAGATGAACCCAATGGGCAGCCAGGGTGGCAGCTGCCGGACTAAGGATCTCTAAGGTCCTTTACTTTTATAAGATTCTGAAAGTCCATGACTTAAATGCAATGTGAATTCAGCTCAAGTTTCAGGACTGGTAGTGACAGACTGTACCTCTCAGCACTTACTCAGCCCCTATCTGACCTCCAGCAAAGAGCCCTGACCGTTCCATGCAGCTGGTCAATTACATGGTTTACATACTTTCTCTCACTCCTCTTTCTTCTGGTTCTCCCACCATTTGAGAGATTTACCAAGCACAGGCAGGAGAAATACAAGAAGCTGAGCATCTAATGAAGACACTTTGCTGCTGATAAGGTACGCTAGTGAGAGATTTAGCAAGTTACAAGGCAGAAATTGTTGAGTGAAGTGAGGTTTGGGCATTACTCAGGAATGTCAATGGTACACCCTATTCTTTTTTTTTTTTTTACACCCTATTCTTGACCCATCTAAGACCATATCCACACTATCCCTGTGTCAGCAGAATAACAGCCCCACAAAGATGCCTGAATCATGATGCCCAGAACTGTGAATACAATCCTCTCCACAGCAAAAGAGCCTTTGCAGATGTAATTAAGTTAGAAACCTTGAAATGGGGAGGGAGGCTGTCCCGGATTATCTGGTGGACCCAAGGTAAGGACAAGGGTCCCAATAAGTGAAAGAGGGAGGCAGGCGAGTCAGAGACGGGATGGAGGGTGGAAGCAGAGATTGGAGTGATCGAACTGCTGGCTGGCAGAGGGGGAGCCGAGGAAGGTGGGCCGCCTGTAGAAGCTGGGAAAAGCCAGGAAACGGAGTCGCCTCCACAGACCTTGACTTTAACCCTGTAAGATCCTGGCTGGACTTCTGACAGAAAGAACTGTAAGCAAATAAACTTGTGTTGGTTTAGGTCACTAAGTCTGTGACAATCTGCTACAGCAGAAATAGAAAACACAATCCCCTTCTAAACCAGCCCCTCCTTCTGACTCGCCAATTGGTGCCCCTGGCCTGGTATTTATACAGACAACTGTTAAGCCAGGTGGAGTTAACCTCCAGTGTCTCTCATATCCACTTCCTTAGCCAGCCCTCAAGCCATCACCCTCACTCAGCCTTTAATGCCTCCAATGCAGATAACCGTATCTCAACCAGTGTATTCGCCTCACAACTCATTCTACACATTAACTAACAAATGGAACTTATTCCCCAAGCAGAGGTCTGTTCACATTTCTCCCAGGGATAAACAATTTTCTATTGCTTTTTATTTTTATTAAATGAATTACAGCCCTCTATGATGGGTGAATTGTGTCCCTCCAAAATTCATATGTTGACGCCCTAACCCCCAATACCCCAGAATGGGACTATATTTGGTGACAGGGCCTTTAAAGCAGTGATTAAGTTAAAATGAGGCCTTCAGGGTGGGCCCTAATCCAATCTGACTGGTGTTCTTTTAATGAGAGGAAATTTGGACACACAGAGACACCATATGTGTGTGTACTCACAGAAGAAAGGCAATGTGAGGACACAGTGAGAAGGTGGCGGTATGCAAGCCAAGGAGAGAGGCCTTAGGAGAAATCAACCCTGCTGACACTTTGATATTGGACTTTTAGCCTCTGGAAGTGTGAGGCATCCAGTCTGTAGCATATCACAGACCCTTATCTAGTTTTCCATAAATACCGGAGAATTTCTTTATATGTACCTTACAGTCCAAACCTAGGCAGCCTTGAAAATTTTTGCCTCTGGCCTGACCAGTGTGGCTCAATGGTTGACCTATGAACCAGAAGATCAAAGTTCGATTCCCCGTCAGGGCACATGCCCAGGCTGTGGGCTTGATCCCCAGTGTGGAGTGTGGAGGAAGCAGCCGATCAAGGATTCTCTCTCATCACTGATGTTTCTATCTCTCTCTCTCTCTCCCTCTCCCTTCCTCTCTGAAATCAATAAAAAAATATTTTTAAAAAAGAAAAGAAAGTCCGGATTCCAGGTGCAACCCCATGATTTACTAGTGGGATCATGAGCAACTTGCTATTAACCTCTCTAGGCCTCTGTTTTCTTATCCCTAAAATGGGTATAATGACCTCTTTGCAAGTTACAGGTCTGTTATAAGGTTCCATGATATCATGTATGAACATACCTTATACATTTTAAAGTACTATATATATGCATGTATAACTATATATCTACACTAATAAAAGAGAAACATGGTAATTGGCGTACGAGCTACCCTTCCCATTGGCTAATCAGCATATCCTTATGCAAATTAACTGTCAGCCAAGATGGCGGCC